CTCCTTCCGCCCGGCTACGCGGGGACATGAGCAGCTCCCGGCGGTGGCGCTGGGGGCCGAGGCAGCGCGCAGGAGGCACCGACGAGGGGACTCACGTCTTATGTATAGTCTGGAAGAGCTGCTGCCCCTCCAGAGAGACACCAGCACTAATTGCATACGCCTGGCTCATCTTCTCTTCCTTCTCCGTCCGCGCTTTGTTGGCAAGCTGGAGGGGAGACAAAGAGAGAGGGAGCTGGGCTGAGCGTCGCCCGGGCGGCCACGAGAGCTCCAAGGGGACACGGGTCCCCCCGCAGACACGGCTCTGCCGCTCGCTGTCGGGATCACTAATTACATCAGGGTAACGACAAGCGTGCCCGTTCCACCCTCCAACCACACCTTTCTCTGCGCATCCCGGAGCGCCGCATGGATTTCAGGCCACGGCTTAATTCCTTTTTGAGTCACCGTCACCACTGCCTGCGTCCCCCCCCCAACATTTTGGGGACATGGGGGTGTCTTTTTGCATCCCTCTCTTCGGGCACGGGGAAGAAGCCAGGGGCCAGACACACAAGCATCACCCTCCCCCTCTGCCTTTTCCAAATTAATGACTGCAGTTTAGGCCCAGGCCGCCTTCCCCTGCTTGCTGCTTCCCCAGGGGACGCAGAAGGGAAAGGCGAGCCCAGAATAACCATTACATTCGTGCTCGGGGGGGTGCAAGCGCCCCTGCACAGACCACGCAGGAGTATGAATGACTTTATCCCGGAGCAGTTACTCTGTCCCCAAGTAAGAAAGCAGAATCGGCTATTTGGGAGTCGGCGTCTGGGTGCGGGGAAGCGCAATCCCCCCAGCAGGGTCCCAGAGCAGAGAGGGGGAGCCCCAGCCCCGGCATCCCCGCGTTAAATCCCAGGCTGCGGGAGAAGGAGCTGCGGCTGCCGGGAGGCCTGGGGCGGGCAGGCGGCGCTGGACCAGCGCCGTCCCCGGCTGGACCTGCCGCAGTAGAAGAGCCACATTAGCATTGCCGCCCACGCCAGCCCTCCTCTTCCTCCTCCTCCTCCCCGGAGCAGCCTCGCGCTTGCAGCGCTCCCCAGGCCAGGCCGGCTCCCTCCACGCTGCGTGAGGACGGCCTCCCCCTTTCTAAAGCCCCCTCTGGGTAGGCAAAGCCTGAGCTACCGCTGAGCGGGGGCACTTTCGGTAGCGACCAGCCCCCCCGTCGCACCAGCCTGCCTCCCAAGGCGGCAGCCACCAGGCCGGCACAGCCCCGTGCCGCCCTCCCTGCCCGGGGGAGCGGGGTCGGGGCAGCAGGGGTCGGTTCCTCTCCGTGTGCTCCTCGGCGAGCACGGGGGGCCCTAACGGGGGGACAGGAGAAGCAGGGGTCTTGTCTTGGCCCCCGCACAAGCTGGCTCTGGAGTAATCCGCCCCACTCCACGTAGGAGCTGCTCTCTCCCAGACCACCAGTCCAGCTTCCAAACTGGTTTGTAAGACCGGGCACAAGGTTCCCCAGTAACTTGCCTGCAGCCGAGTCGCACGCGCGACCACTTCACCCGGGCAGGGCTGCTCCCCGAGGCCGCCGTGCCCCGTGCCCAGCCGGCTCCATCGCCTGCACCAAAGCTTTGGGGACAGCCCAGCGAGGAGGCGGGTGACAAGAGACCACCACAAGGAGCTGGGAAACCCCAGGGAGGTGGGGATGACGAGCAGCCCCTCGTGTGATGCCGCCATGGGCAGCATCCCAACTTGACTTCATCGGGCGCTCCTAGACCCCAGGATGAACAGCACCCATCAAAGCCTGACCTCGCCCCCTGCTCCTAAGCTGGTGAGCATCAGCCCTCACCCAGAGCCGGCTCCCTCGCAGCGTGGCTGGTTCACAGACCGAGGGCCAAGCCCCAGGGTCCCTTCGCTCTTGTCTTCCCCCTGCCATGGGATGCGCTCTCCCTATTCATGAACGCTATCCTCGGGCGAGAAACAATCGGACACGCCGAGCCCCCAGCCTCCCCGATCCAAGCATTCCAAACAGCCTCCTTGTTCCCAGCGCAGCCCCCCGCTGCGTGGCTTTGTGCCCCCCTCCAGCAAGCACCCGAAGGCGCCGGGGCTATTGAAGACTCAGGCGCGCACCTTGCGTGCATGAATGGATGCAAACAGCCTCCTTGTTCCCAGCGCAGCCCCCCGCTGCGTGGCTTTGTGCCCCCCTCCAGCAAGCACCCGAAGGCGCCGGGGCTATTGAAGACTCAGGCGCGCACCTTGCGTGCATGAATGGATGAGTCACTTCCCCATTCACGCCCGTATGAATGATGGAAAACGCGCCGCAAGAAGAACT